CTGAAAACGCGGTTGAGAGCGACATTCATGTGTTTCGTGCCATGCTCGTTGATGCGCTTGTTCATTATATTCGGGTAATAATGATCTATAATCATACTATTTTGTGAAACATTTTTTCTAACATATAATGGGATGCTGTCACAAGGCATAGTAAAGAAATCATAACTCTCAAACTTCCAGATTCATCCTTCTATTATTCGAATAGAAAAACGTGCTGGTCTAACTCGAGCTGATAAAATTGTATTTCTCTACTAATTTATCAAATATTTTTGAGATTTAATGAATTTCAAGTACACTTTTGGAAATCTCCAATGTCAAAATTGTACAAAGAATTCATTTTCAGTTCCAAGTAGTTAAAAACACCACGAAAAATATTTAAAATTTTTTTTAAAGATTTACTCTAATCGGAGAAACTCTAAATAGCAAGAGAGAGATTTTCGGCATGGGCCGCACCCTTGCTTCTGTAGATATCACTGAACACTTGCTTTCGTTGTATTTAGATCACCTCGCTAAAATTCGTTCGGCAAAGCAACAGCGTGGATAAAACGTTGCCTATGGCAAATCTTTGGACTGAACGTGTTGAACCTTTTCTAACAATGGTTAAAGAGACTATTACCCAAAAACTCGTGATTCCTAATCGGGACAGACGTGAATCGTCGATGTTACCACATGTTCTCGCTTTCACAGGAAAATACTTGATAGAGGTACTCATTCTACCTGTGACTGCGTATAAAATGGCCTATCGATTCGCGATAAAGAAATGGAATCGACGACAAACAATTGCAATCGGAGTACTCATCTCGTTTCTAATCACATCATGGACGTTGATTACAATAATGAATATCGTCCTCTTTCATGTTGATTCAAGCAAGCCTAGCAATGAGATAGATAGTGATGTCACCGCATTCGAGCCATATTTTCCTTTTGCACTACTGATTTACATGTTTTTACTAGTTTACATCTCTAAAATGTTTCCATTGCTCACACAAATACGTAAAAAGATATGCTCCGTAGAAAATTCACATCGTCAAGCCACCTACGACCTTGTACGTTATCGAGCCCGTCCGGCTCTCATCGATCCTCTACCGGTCGAAAAATCTGTCGAGGCTCTCGCTAATGGCCTCAATTCGAACTTGAAACAATCGCATGCCTCGCCATCGAATACTGCGCAGCTTCGTCGTTGGTATTTAACTATTGGGATTATAAGTTTTCTCTTGGCCACTATCCACACATACACGCCCGTCGTTGCACGCGTAATTGGCAAAAGAACGGTTAAATACAGTATATGGTACGTCACATTTATTATTGTCTCCTATTGGACGACTGGTTTCTTTGCTTTCATACTATTTGTTGTTATGATCTACAGAGCATTTGAGTGCTTTCAGAATTTAGACGCAAAATGTCGCCAAAACCTGTTAGGCGCCTACATCGATGAACGTTACATTGAACAGAGTGAAAAAAATTTGGAATTTTTGAACATTAAAGAACCTCGCAATCTTGACTATTTTCTTGCCAAAGTCAAACGAACTGTGAGTCGTGGTCAAACTACTCGCGTTCGTATTCATCTATTTACGGTTACCTTTGCATTTACCATTTGTATGATCCTGGTAGTTATATCTATCGTTCGGCTGCTAAGCAAGAGTGAATCAAACTTGAGAGATGATCCACTATCTATTGTTATGCTCGTTGATTTGATCATTATGGCATTATTAGTCATTGCTGTTTTGCTTGTTGTCGCTGACATTAATCATGCATCAACAATCGACGTCATTAAACTACTACGACGTGTACATCTCGAAGCAGTTCGTGACGAGGCATTGCACATTGAAGACGAAGAAGAGGACAACGGAAACTATAGACGAGCATTAGTCGAAACTCAGAACACACTCCGCTATCTGGAGAGTGTAATTCAATATACAGCAGCCACTTTTGATGGTCACACACTCAAACTTTTTGGTATACTTATAATTGACCGACAACTTATTGTGAAAGCAGTGATTGCATTAATTATTGCTGCTTTGTCGAATTTGGCTAGAATGGTAGTGCGAGAGCTGAGCTCTAACGACAGCAATAGTAAATGTTGTATACTTTCGAGCAACCATTCATCAACGCAAATCGCGCCAAGTTTTTAGAGTATCAAAAATTATCCTTAACAAAAACAATAACAATAGTTCGATTTATTTATAATTTATTGATTCGAATACTTATAATAATTGCAATTACCCCTCTGTCCCTATTGTTATGTTTCATATCTGATAGAAAGTGATCATCATATGAATGCTGAGCGAAGGATGGGTGTGGGTGTGCATGTGAAGATTTAGACTTCGTCCTAAAAATACCTACATCTAAAATGTAGTTTTGTCTTTATTGAAAAAGTACATATCTGCATGGCCAGTCATTCATCATTCACAATTCTTTTTCGTCGTGTAGATCTATGGTTCTATGGTTTTCTTGTAATGAGACATTGACATGTTGATTCCTAAAATGTTTGTTTTTTATCTGTTACAAATGATACAATTGATAGAATGGATCTTACCCTTTGGTATGATATACTTTGTTGCAAAACGGAAATAGTCCAATCGAAGTCGGTATCTCTGACGCACAAATACTTTTCTTCTTAATATGGAAGAGAGATATTTTATTTTTCTGTTTCACCAATTACTACACTCCACATTTTTCCTTATGTTTGTTCAAGCCACTTGGAAATCTCATGGAATTCGTGATTCCTGTGCATTGTTTGATGGGTACTTCTCATTTGCGAACATAAAGAAAATAAATTCTAAGTAAATTAAAATTTTTAAAATTTCATTTGATTTAAATTTGATAATTTTCTTAATTTTTCGTAAAGCGATTAGAATTTATATTTAACTTTTAAAAATTTGGTTACTGCGAACGAATATTGAAAGTAAATTGTTTCAAAAGATTTTAATAAAAAAAATTATTTTATTTAATAAGCATCCTGTAATTTATAGAGAACGTTAGGTTTTGATTAGATTAAGATTTTTATTTGAGCCTAGCTGTGAACAATTTTAATAGAAGCGAAAACTAGAATGTACTAGCTGGTTTGCTTTTCTTTTGTTATTAATAAACTAACACTCATAATACACGAGCAAGGATCGTCGGTTTGGGCTGAATTAAGAACGATTTTAGTTAAAGACAAAGCGAGTTTCTAAGCAGATTGTATCCTAATTTTTTGTGATAATCGATATTTACTCCGAATGTGGTGTGGGCGGATCGAGTTATGATTATCGAGAGAAGACGCTCATCAACATCTATATTTCTAAGCCGTCTTTTTTAGAACATCATTTTTGTATTTTTGATTTTTATGTATAAACGCTTTTACACCCCAATCAGTTGCCTCCATTCAATGTTTGATTCCATTGTATAATCATAATTATATGGTCTGTTCAAAATCAAAAATCTTTAGCGAACTCCATAAATTCCAGCAAGTTTAAAAATCAACTGAAATTGAATTTAACAGATTTTGAATTTCGATTTTATGTTCGCAAATGAGAAGACACAGTGGGTTGTGGATAACTACAACAGTAAGTAACTAAGAAGTATTTCGACTTTTTCGAAATTTCTGTGTCATTTATGTGTTTGATATATTGAAGGAGGCCAGTTAGAAAGTTTGAATATTTTTTTGAAATGGCTAAGACATGTAATGATCCAAACAGAATTGATGAGCTGTGAGATTGTTATGATGAATTTTTTGGGGTGCTCCGTCTTCTTCTGTTTTCTTTTGGGAGATCCAGGAAACAATTTTTCAGTCGTTATTGAAGATTGCAGATAGAGAGCTCAATGCTTTTGCTTATATTAGAGCAAATGTAAAAGATCATCATATTAATATTGCTAGTGTTTCAGTTAAGAAATAATAGGGAATACTAAAACATAAGTTCAGTTTTTCTTGAAGGTGTTGCTAGAATGCTAAATGTGGGTATGGATCTATTTGTCAATCAATCGAAAAAAAGATCAACCTATGTCTTGAAGACAAGACAAAGCTCAATCTGCTAGTCTCAATTTTTACTTTTCAGGAATCGACTTTCGGTCGTCAAAAAATGATGAATTGATGTGCTTTATATGAGTAATAAATAAAGATAAATGCAGATTTAAGTTCACCGATGCGTTTCGTGTTACTTGTTGAAATATAAATATTCATTAGGGCTCTGTATTACAGTAGTAATCACAAATAGAAAAATAGAAATTCTCACTGACAATAAGCAGTTGCAAATGGAGGTAAAAGTAAAAAAAACAGATAGCTAGACAACAAGGAGAAGAAAGCAATATTTTTGTGAAAGGAGGAAGTAGTTTAAGTTCATTCTAAATTGGATTGGACTTTGAATATAAGGATGCTTGCATCGAATGGTAACATACTCCCATAGGTTCAAAAGAAATTAAATAAGTCTAGTGAAGAAAAGATAGTTTGGTGTGAGTAAACAGTAAGGAATTTCTTTTTTTCTATAAACTGTAACAGTGAACATTTCATTCATTATTCTTTAGCAAAAGGTGAGTTATTCAGAAAAAAGGAAATGTTACAGAACTTGTTTTAGAAGAGTTAAAAGTTTAGCATCAAAGTTCAATTTCAGACATATATCATATCATATCATTTTCTTTTCATTTCTTCTAACTATATAACAAGAAATAAAATGGAAGTGTTTTTATAGAAAAGTTAATCATATGCAATAGAATCCAAACGAATAGAAGCCTTATTTTTGCTCTTGAATGATTTCTATTAAAGTTCTAGTATAATACACAATCACTTAGTACACACGAATTATATTTCATGCTTTAACTCTCTATGTGAAGCTACTGACATCAAAGAGGAAGCTCGTAAACAAACTTTTATTTATGATTTAAGTGTAACGTCTTTTTTTTGTTTGATAATGTCAATGTAAATTTCATCCATATATAATATTGTCTTTTGCTTATAAATATGAACATAAAGTTGTAAAATGAAAAACAAAATCAAAAGATATCATACACACAAACACACATGCATACTACAAATGTTCTAAATGTCGGTCTTTTGATTTCCTTCGATGTTTTTTTGTAATTGCTGTTGGTTGTTGAACATTTCCAGCACTAACACTATCTCGTACTGTTAATGCACTTGATGTTCGTCTTGTTCTTGGTAAACCTAATTGTTGTTGTTGAAAAACATCACTTAATTTAATTCGTGTATTTTTATTTGATTGTTGTTGTTGATGTTGTTGTTGACTTTTATTTTGTGTCAATGCTTGATAACGTGATTTAAATACATGATCAAGTGATTTATTATATAGATGACGTTTATTTGATACTTGACGTCGTTTTATAGCTTCATAATTACTTCCATATGTTTTAACTGAACCTGATACATATCCACACATTTGACTTATTTCACTATGATCAGTTGTATCTAAATTTCTTTGCATATCATTTACTTTAGCTGTATCACTCCATTGTTGTGATGTATTTGCAGAATTTCTCATATATCGACTTCCGCCATGATAGATAAGTCCTGTTGTTGATAAATCAGGTTCTGATGCTTGTTTATCACCTTGATCATCATCATCATTATCATAATCAGGCTCAGGTAAATCTTCTTCATCAAAACCTTTTAATTGTTGTAAGACTTTAACTTGTTCAACAGCATCTTCAACATTATCTGTTGTAAAATCTCCACGTCGATGTTGACGATTATTTTTTCCATTATTTCGTTGACAAATTTTTAAATCAGTTGATGCTAATAAATGTAATAATGTTCCATAACGATGCCATAGCATTGAAACAAATTGTATAAGTAAAATAGTTGCAAAAAAAACTAAAAAAGCTAAACCAAGCGGTTCAAAACGTAATGGATCATTATGTAAACGTTTTATTGGTATAAATACATAATCACGTATACGTTCTGATACAAGTTGAAATGAAAATATAATAACAAGCCATAATGTATTGATCATAAAAAATATAAAACAACCATTGTTACGTAATGATTTAAGATCACGAACCATTTTTTTCTGATGATCTTTATCTTCAACTAATGGATATAAATAACGTCCAATTAATTCTTGAAAAAATTTTGTTTCACGTGGATCAAGCATGACTACTTCAGAATCATGTAATGATTCATGAAAGATCCAGGCCGGATTAACTAAAACAAAATTTGTTTTTTTCAGAATTCTGAAAAATTTATTATCCGATGTTAGGGTGAAAATATCCTTGATAATATCTGTTTTATGGCACTCACACGTTTTTGACAACAATGAATATAAGTTTAAATCGAAGTTTTTTCGACTCATCACAGGCTCTAACAGTCGGAGGTGAGAGAAGAAAGAGCAAACATTCTTGGGTAGAATGTTCTTGAAATGATAAATGGCACGTAAGCAATAATAGTGTTCAGATCATTTTGAAATTTTCTAGACTTCAAGATTTGTATGGTAGGTTATAACTAGTCTAAATAATGTGAAGTTTGGTATTCGATACAGCACAAGGACCGTATTATTGATCTTGCTAAGTCAGAATATGACGGACATCGAAAAGTTTGAACTAATTTAATTTTACGCTAAGGCAGAACTTACCATTATGTGTCAAAGTTAGTCGAGTGAAAGAATGGCATCCTCGAAAGTTTATGAAGCGATATACTTTTTCTCAGTATAACAATGTTAAGGATGAGCATGAGCGTGGATGTTTATAGATAAATTAGAGTTCTGCTCACACAAAACTCAGCGTACAATGGTGAGATCAATAGTGAACAGAACGAAGGATACCTTAATTTTCGCTTATCTTATGGTATGGGGTGCCGTCTAGTGGCAGATCCAATAGACCTGTAAGATTCTCTGTAATCATGAATAATTGTAGCTCTGGACAGAAGGCTAGCCTGGCACAGAGTTCTTGCACTCTCCGTAAACACAAACCAACCACAAGGACAGATTTATATCACAATGTAGTCAGCATTACTATCAGACGAATGACCCGAGACGAATAGCCGTTAGTAACTCGTTCAGATTCCATGACTGGTAGTACTGAGGTTTACACACAGTATCTTGTGGATACGTGTCAAACATTGTAACTATTCAACCATAGCTAATCGACAATGGACAGACTTTGTCTCAGTATTGATAGCTTTTCTGAATGATGCATACCAGATGTTATTTGTTTATTGGTCGTAATATTGATGCTTCTAAAATTGCATTCTTAAACAGAATAAAATGCAAGACTTATGATCTATACAGGAGGTAGATCACCAATTTTAGATGATACGACAGTTAATTATTCGATACGTAATTTCCATTACAACAAATGACAAACTATGTTTATATTGTTCAGTAAAATAAAAGATATTGATAAGAACGAGAGCGTCGATGCTAGTTAAAGTAAGAACGAAGGGTTTGAATGTTGGAAGCTCCATTCTCACTGAATATCAACTATTTTATACTGAATTAGAAAATTTTCTAAGTTCTTGATGATCGAGATTTGGCTATGACATAAAACAGCTACGTAAATGTCTTAATGAAAAACACGTAACAATTCCATACCTAGTTCATCTCGTTTTATAACTGGAGCTTCAAATGGACGTGTTACACCGGCATATGACATAACTTGTCCATGTGATGTACTTCGTGCATTATTTATTCCACGATAAGTTAATTGTTGTTGTTGATCTGATTGAGGATAACTAGCACGAGTCATTGGTGCTACGGGTGAACCAGCTCGTGCAGCTAATTGCATAAGACCATATTTAGGATCGATTTCAGACTCAACTTGATGTCTATTTGCTTGAGGATATAAACCTGTAGTGGCTACAGCTTCCATTTCTTCATCAAATTTATTCTAAAAAATAAACAATGAACAACATTTCATTATTTTGACAACATAACAATAGTTTGATTACTTTTTCCATTCGTTCAACAGCACCTAAAATTTGTTGTAAGAGTATACCATTTAATCCTGATCTTTCAAGACCAAGCCATTTTCGTGCATAAGAACGTATACGTTGATCATATTTTTTAAGATTAAAATTTGTAAATACCTTTATTTAAAAAAGAAGTTTCTTCTTATTTTAAAATAATAATTTTCTTACTTGATTTAAAAATCCAGCTGATTTTTGTTTTGCTTGTGTTAATTCTTGGATTTTAGCACGTTCAATTTCTTCTTTACTTTGATTTTTTTTAACTTTTTTTGGTGCTTCTCTCGTACCCCATGATACAATATTAAGATTACACAGTGAATAAATAAGTAAAAATAAATATCCACTTGGTATACATAAAAAATAGAGTAAACCTGGAACTATACACCAAAATTCTTGTGGATGCATACAAGCAGCAATGAAGAATATTGAAAATAAAAGCATTAAGAAAACAGCATTTGGTGATGTCCAAGAATCTTCAGCTATTTGAATTGTTGTACCAACAACAACTGACATCATTATTATTGCATATACAGCAGAAAGAAAAGCTGCTGCACGTATTTGAAAATCAGTTGTTGTATGAAAACATAAAAGTAAATAAAAGAATGCCGGTAAGACTGACATATACATTGATTGCCAAAGACTTGTACCTAAGAAAAATTAGACACAAATACAAAAGTCTAGTGAAGATTAGGAAACTAGATATAACGAGAGAAGGTTACGTAACGGTCAGATTGCTTTTCATTTGAAACTATTACCATACAATCGATTTTGATGAGTAGTGAAAAAGTCTGGTTTCATTTCTAGTTTTCGCTTATCGACTTATGAATGTTTTACTCGATTATTATCTTATGAGAATCGGGTTGCTGAGAGCCTGAAGGATGAAAAATTTGTCCATAGAGAGGTCTTCTAGTTACTAGAAACTTTTCCAAGTTCCAGTTATGATAAATGTATTCTTATCGAGAAAACGTTTGTCATGAAAATATCCCTCTCTTGAAACATAGTTGTGAATAAGTGCTTGATAAGAGTTTCTAGTGATTAGAAAGCCTATTATATGGACGAAATTCTCATAACAAAGCTCTCAGCAAGCCAATGTTCACAGCGCAAAGATCGAGTAAAGCATTCATAACACAACAAGCGTAGACCAAAAACCTAAGCCGAAATAGACACTGCTACTACTCATCAAGATCAATCGAATATTAATCGTTTCAAGTGAAAAGCGATTAGATAATTTCTCGACTGATATCGTAAGTTATATTAGTAGATTGAAGTAAAGAGACAACATAACATTTGCGAAAAGAATTATATCTTTTTCTGTAGTTTCTTTATTCATGAATTTCTGCACAAAGAAAGCAGTTATGGAAGAAAGACAATCTGTAAGACGACAATAGTGATTATTATTCGTTCAATTTTTAAGTCATTAATTCAAAATGATCGATTGATAACATAGAGGTATACATGATTTCTATATATCGTGTAACTGAGACAGTTTCTTTGTTGTTGATGTAATAGGATCTGGAAGAATAATACCCTGCGGTATACAGTGTCACCTAGTGGCAGATTCAATAGCCCGATATCTTTCCTAAAACAATGCCCAGTTATAATTCTTGCGCTCAAGTGCTTGAGTTCACCATACTATCAGACGAGTGATCTGCGAGAGATAATCGTTAGTGACTTGTTCAGAATTACTTTATGGTTGGTGATCCGGAGGTTGAAACACAGTACGTTGTGGATACACATTGAACAACGTTGCCATTCAGCTATGGCGCCTATAAGATTCTTACCAGGTTTTTTTTTTCTTACAAATCCTAAGCACTGTCGATAGCTGAATTTAATATAAATCCTATTTAGATGATGAGAACAACTAGTTAGTAGCGTTATCTTCTTTTTCAATCAAGTCCTATTCAATAGTCAGAAGTATTTTGTTCGAAAAGATTACTTAGTGCTTCCTACTCTTTTATAGTAACAATTAGATTTTTAAGCGAACAAAAAGTTTATTTTACACATACCAAAACATGCATTGAATGCTCCGATAATCATAAGAAGTACTGTTGCTGGACCAAGTACAGTTGAAACCATAAGTAAAAGTTGATAGATAATGTATAAATATGATATACTTTCATTAACAAGTACAATTCGTTTATATTCAGCAAGGAAATCAATAATATTTGCAATAGTTGATGGAACCCAACGACGACGTTGATTAAAAAATTCCTATTTTATTTGTAAAAATTCAACTTTTTCTTTCAAATAAAAAAAAAAGTAAAACTGAAACTAACATGAAATGATTCTGGTGCATAAGTCAAAGCATCTGATGCAGCACAATATTCAACACGATATCCTTCTTGTAGTAAAAGTGTACATAACCAACGATCTTCACCTATAGACAAAATAAAACATAGTTTTAAAATAATAATAAAAATATTTTTTAAAAAAACCTTGATCATATTGCACATAATGTCGAGCTTCGGTTGATTTCGTACAATATGTACGTAGAACATGATCATCCATTAATGCTGAACCACGAAAAAGACTAAAACAACCTGGACTGCACATCTAAAAAGAAATATTCATTCTATAGTATTTAAAGGAAATAGCTTAATCTCAACATACTACACAGCCTAGAATATGTTCAGCTGCTTTTTGAAGCCAATGGCCAATAGCATATTCGAATTTTTGATACCAAACTACCGGACCTTTCGTTTTTTTTTTTGAATAAATAAATATTAATTAAACAATGAATTTAATTTCATTTTCAAAAAGCAAGGGGTTCGGCTGTTTTTATTTTTTGAATAACTTTTGATAGAAACAACATAGAGAAAACCTTGGGTTATCCAAGTATGTCGAAATCTGATTAGTCAACAACTGATCAATCAAGTCAGCTCTCTGCAGAGATTCTGACTTGGAACATGACCAATCTATACAACCTATAACTTTCTTAACATGTGCTATTTCAGAGTTGCACGAATTATTCCAAGATCTTCGATTTCAGGAAATTGACCTTGAAAAACTTCGAAAGAGCTCAAGATAGATGGGATAACTTATCATGTTGAGCCGAATGGTAATGTTTGTTTTCAGTTTCAAAAATTTTCCCATACACAGCATCAAAATCAAACTTTCAAAAATCTTGATGAATTTTCAGTGTATTAAGCTCTTTTGCTAAAATCGGAGGTCTCGGACTATCGTTTGTAATTCTGGAATGGCACACGCTAGAAATTTGAAGCTTGCATAAATTCAATGGAAAATGGCTTCAGAATATGGTTTTAAAAAATTATCGCAGAGAGCTAACCTGATTCGTCAGTTATTGACTAATTAGATTGCAACATACACAGCTACCCTAAAGTCTTCTCTTTTGAACAGTGAAAATCTCAGATCTCTATATATTCTTCCTACCAAAAATTACTCAAAAAACAGTCAAGTTCATTGAAGTTTGAAAACGATAATAGATCTTACCACTGCCAATTGGATGAATTCGACCACAAGCAGCACCGACTTTTTTATTTTTTTTCATTCGATCAACAAGTAAACGTACAGCTTCTGGTCGAAAATCGACATCACCATCCAGTGCTAATAGATATGTATTTTCCATCTAATTAATAATTCCTTTATTTTTATTAGAATAAAAAGAAAAAGAAATTTATTACTTGTATTCGTTTTTTATTATCCATGTTATTCAATAAATTTCCAAAACCTTTAAATAATTTTGATTTACTTTTTGATGAATTTTTTTTTCGTTTTCGTTTATATAATTTTTCAATTATATTTAAATCACCAAATAAACGATAACCAAGTAAATAGTACATATACATAACCTTAAAAATGTATTTAATAAAACATAAATCAAAAAAAGACTCAATAATATTACTTGACTCCATCGTTTTTTATGTCGAATTTTTGTTTTATCTTTTATATGTGCTATAAGAAAATTTCCACCTGGTAATACCCATGTTAAACGTCCACCATATGGTGTTGGTGTTTTAAATGGTGGAGGAATTTTCATTGGACATTGATGAATAGCACTAAATAAATATTTATAAAAAAAAAAATTAAGAAGACAAAGATATTAGCGTAATTCATGCAAGGCTTAGGTTTCTTGGCTAAGACTGCCACTATCTATGATGGATCTTTGCGAACGAATGAAGTCTCACAACTATTAAAATGCTACTTGAATTAAGACAACGTGCATTATTTATGGGATCTATACAATACACATAGTTTCGACTCAATTGTGAGGCTTCCCTAGTAAGTTTTCTTCACTTACATCTATGAGAAGGAGGTTCAAAACTTCAACACTTTTCTCAAATCGTGCTTCATAAAAGAAAAAGACCTACGTTGCCGCTCGATCAACAACACTAAGTAGTTGTTGGACAAATTTATTCGGTACTTGTTCATTATTGTCATCTTCTTCCATAGCATCATCAAAAAATATATGACCTTCATATTCATAATAATCAAGATCTTTAAGATGTAAATAATTTCGAGCTGTTCGTCGAGCACATTGATCACTATCCAATCTATAGAAATAAAAACTAATAATATGAATTTCTTTAAGGATACAAATAAACAATAATAAGTAAACCTTTTTATGTCAAATACGTGAAAGTAATAAAATAGATATTATACTTTGAATACAAGGTTTTATTAAAATAGGTGAATTTTCCATGGCATAATGTCGAAGATCATGAATTGTTGACAAATGGTATCTCATTCTAGTCAGTTTTCAACAAACTTGAATTATCATATCTGTTTATTTGAGAAGTACTGTTATAAGATCAGGAATGCAGCTGAGATAAAACGAGAATATATCTCTCTACTTCGGAATCTATGGCAAAATTGGCTCTGCTCATTAAGATTTAACAGCTCTAAAACTATTAAACTTTACCAATTAGTCAACATTCATACTTAAAACTTTGTACATTCAAATAGAATTTTCTATGATGAATAGGAGTTTAGTTATTGTTTTAAATTAAAGATAAGAATAATTACAATTCTTCATTATATTCAAACATAAATTTCTATTAATACAAACCTCATAATCGATTTCAATAATTGTAACATTTCTGTTTCAGTTTCATGCCACATAGTTGCACATGAATAAATTTTCGTATGAACTTCAGCACTTAATTTTTTCTCCATCGATAATTCTTCAATACTTTGTTCATCAAATTCTGTTTCAGCATTTGTTGTTGTACCCATTTCATCATATGTACCAGTTAAAATTTCATCACGTTCATTTCGACGTCGATTCATCATTAAAGATTGTTCAAGTAATGTTGCACAATAACGTGGTGAAACAAATAAACTAAAACAAAAAAAAAAAAGGAAAAGAATCCAACACAAATACATTCGTTTTTTTTCCTTTGAATCATTCTAATTAAATTAATTTACCGTTCTGTAAATGCTAAACGTTGACTTTTTCCAAACCAAATATGTCCACCAATCCATAATTCTGATAACCACCATAAAACAAGACCACATATAACTTGCCATCGAAATGATTCTTTAGCATAATCAGCATAACAACTCCAAAAAAGAAAATTTTCAATAAGAACAGTTGATTTTGGTGCAATAGAACACATAACAAGTAATATTGTTAATGCTAATGGTGTAACTAATGTTATTGGTAATGCAAAACATACACGTTGCATACAAAGTTTACATGCTAAACGACCCATATAAAAACATAATGCATCAGAAAGAATTTTTAATATCATCGGTGTTAAATAAAATATCCAACGATCTTTTGGATTTGTTTCATCAACATTATTTCCTCCAATATTATTTCCACCAATTGTTGAATATAATTTTTCGTCATCATAAGGAAAATTATTTGGAAAATCATTATCTGTTTGTCGTTTTATTCGTCTTATATATGTTGATATATTATCAATTGAACGACGTTCACGTGGTGGTAAAATTGGAAACATACCTTCTGTTGGTTGTTGATCAAAACCTAATGCTGCCCATGAATTTTGTCCGGATGATAATTTCGGTAATGGATCTTCTATTTGTTCATTATTAGTATTTATTGGAAAAATAACAGATGTATTAAATATACCATGATGAAATATATAAGCAAATAAAATAGTAACAAATATTTTCCAACATGTTATTATTATTGATGTTTTTGAACGTGTTGCAAGAATATTTTCTTTTAATAATTTCATATGAACTATTGTACGACCACCAATTTTTATATCACGATCAACAAAATTTTCCCACCTAACGAAACAAAAGTTGTTAGCATAATCTTTGTGGAAATAAAATGTGAAACACAATGTTGCTACTTTTGCTAATCACAGAAAGATTGCTTCTTTTTCTATCCAACGTGAGACATACGTCTTCACCATCTGTTTACTTAATTCTCTAGAAATTCACTAAGAAAGAAGTTCATATATTAGAACGAGATGTTATTGATGTACGATCTTTCATTATGTATCAACAACGTCTGTCACAGTCTATGAAGGAGGCAAGGGTTAGTCGAAAATTCTACCCAATATATTTTAACATCTTTTATATTGTGTTTCATAAAACAGAAATATGGAATATATTTAGAAGAAAGATTAAATATTTGTTCAACTGTAGAAGGCTTTTATGAATCTGCATTATTTTCAATATGATAGTTTAGATTCTAACGAAATTTATAGTTCAGAAGATCGTAACTGTTTAATGAAATTTGAAAAAAAAATTAATTTTGGAAATTGTCGTCATTTTCTTCGTTCTGTATTTCAAAAGTAATAAACAGTTAAAGATTTCCCAAACCAATGTGAACTTTTCTTTCGAAATGATATTACACAATCCAAAAGGAGTGTCGAGGTAACACACTGTGTCTCTGGACAGAAAGCCGACTTAACGCAGTTCTTGTACTCAAGCGCTTGAGCTCCTCTTCATACACACTAACTCATCACAAGAGCAAATATATGCCACAACGTATTCAGCATATTACTAGACGGGTTATCCGAGACAAACAGTTGTTAAACGTAATAACTCAGCTACAGACCATAACAGATATTTTAGTATTACCGCTGTATTCTCATGAACCATAATAGATATACTCGTAAGACTATACGTTCATACTAACTGTTATATGTAATGATTATCATCTTTCGTCATTGACATGGATTAGTAGTAGATAGGAATTTATAAACTGAAACTCGTGTTTGCAAATTCCTTTGTCTATAATGTCAGCAATTTCACCATGCTTCATATATTAATATCGCAAGAATTGCACTAATAATTTATTTATTTTTTATCCTATATCAAATATCTTACCAAGCTAATGAAACAAGAATCAGTGCTACTGGTAATTCCCATTCAATATGAAAGCCAGCTAAAATTGTTTGTAAATTCTGATCAATTGAACTAATATTACTAAGTGGTGTTGTCAATAAAATATTTTCATTATTTCTATTAATATCTGAAGTAAATAAACCGAAACCACCAGTCAAAGAATCATCTTGTCGTCTATGTCGATTTAATAATGGTATTGTTGTAGTACTTGCTGGATAAAATAATGCTGATACTGTTGTTTGAATATGAATAGGTCCATCACTTTTTAAAAATTTCGATGCCAATGCAATACCAACGCACGAACATTGCATAGCAAATGCAAAAAAATCCATAAGAAATAAAAGACTTCGTCGAACAATTGATGAATTTGATTTAGTCAAAAATAATTTTAAAAAGGCAGGTACAAGACATACAGCATTCATTATTAATAAACTTCTTGCGGCATCAAGTTTTGGTAATATATGAAAAACAAATATTGCTATTCCAAAACTATGTAAAGTTTCGATGAAAAAAACCTATGAATAATTAATAACGAAAAAATGAAATGAAGAAAACAATAAAGAAAACAAACATACGACAGTAAAAATTTTTACAGTAGGCCATGGTTTATTACCAAATAAACATTTACCAAGACTTTCAAAGAATGTAAATATATATGGAGCACATACTGCTGCTAATAACATCCATACCCAACGTTCTCGATAAGGTGTCTAAAAAATGTCATGTTTTTATTATAAGTAAATAAGATTAGCTTGTTATAGAAATACAAAGGATCCTTACTCGCACTAACACCTACGCTCTCAAGATACTTTGAACTATTCTTGTTTTTGAATAGATATGGGTCTGACTGTTTTTTGAATAATATTTGATAGGAACAAGATAGAAACATGAGGTATTCATGATTCAATTCAATAGAGAACACCCTGGGCCATTCATGTATGTCGAAAATCTGATTGTTTAATAACTGACCAATTAGATTAGTTCTCTGTGGAGACTTGGAAAAATATATTCTGAAGTCATTTGTTCAGACCGCTTTGAAATTGACAATAGACATCGCCATTCAGCTCAATGTGATAAATTATCCCTGTCGAAAGTTTTGTTTAGAATTTTGCAATGTCCATTTGCTGAAATCTGTGAGTTGCAGAAAATCCTTATAACTCTTGAATAGAAATGATTACGAAGTTAGAGCTTGCCGTAGATGAAAAGAAAAGACTTTTCTCTACTGATTGTCTATATATTACACGTTAGGATCTAATGGAAAATGCCTACAGAATATTCGCTAAGAAAGCACTTGATTGATCAATTGCTGACTAATTTTTTCTTGTTTTGAAAGGGATAATAGTTTCTGTTCTATTCTTGTCAAAACCAGTTCGTATACTTGGAATTTTAATAGTAGATTTTATATTAATATTACATTTGAGAAAATTTCCAAAGAACATTATTTATCTATAATTACCTCTTGAACTTTTGCCACCGAGTTTGTCATAAGTAATAAAGCTCCTTTACTAATAAGTGCAGTTAATAATACACCAATATTAAGTACAATATAAGTAGTAAGTTTTAACATTCGCATTGATAATCGATAACAATGAACTGTTTTTTCATATGCTTCACGAACATCAATTGCACGTGGTGCATCCCAACAATTCACACTGTCACTAGATAAAATAAAAACAAAAATGTTGAATAATTTTATTTTTCAAGTAAATTTACTCGTTAAATAAGGCTTGTTCATCATCATTTTGTGATGATTGATTTATATTACCAAAATTGTATGTTGAATGTTCAAATTCATTACTTTTATGTGCTTTACGTGCTTGATTATCTTTAAATTTTTGTTTTTGTAACATAAGAATTTTTTTAATTATGCCACGTTTTTGTTCTGATAACATATTTTCATCACGAAGACTAGCTAGAATAATTCGAGGTTCCGATTTCGAACGAACACTAGTCGGATGTTTTTTTTCTTCTTGTCCAACTGCCCAATCTAAAATTATAAAAGAAATAAAAAGCAAATAAACATTTAATATATTAATCAAATATTATCTAACCAGTCATAAATAGATCACCACTAGTTGCAGCAACTTTTGTTTGTCTTATTAATTGTTCAGCAGATGCTAAATTCATTGTTGGTGCAATAGGAATTTTAGCAGCCATTTCAGCAATTATACCATCATGAACTTTCAAAGGATTTTTTGATGTCGTTGCACTTGCTAATCCTGAACCTGATTCAATATTTGATTCCATAGGAAATCTTTTATGATATCCTTGTTTATTAACCGTCATTGTTCCAGGTGTAAATTCATCTTGAACAAGAATACGTACTTCACGTTCGGATAAACCTTCCAATGAAGATTTGATATCATCGGAAGTTTTTGTCATAGATCCAGATGCATTATTTGAAGTTATTCGATGATCAATACCATCTAATTCATCCATTTCATCACTATTAAGCAATTGTAATTTCTATGAACAAATAAAAAATATTCGTTGAACTTTTCAAACATTTCTCTATTATTGACACTATAGTAGAAGACAGATAAATATTTTTTTAGAGATATCTAAATTCAGCGATTTTACTTTGGACGCACTGAAAACAGATCTTGATTTTCGCTTTCAAATAGCAAGAAAAATCATGACAGTAAGCTTTTCGAAATATCGACTGTCTAGCCTCTATAACGAAAAAAGTTAAAATTTCAAAAATTATGTTGTTGTAGTTTTAGATCTGTTTGAAAGCAAAAATAAAGCTTGCCATTTGATTGAACTTTGCCAATCAAGATCTCTCGTCAGATAATCCAGGGTAACACCTCTATAGCTTTCGAACAGAACATGGTAGATGTATACCTTGAAAATCTTGTTTTCAAAAACATTTACCGAGGAGGTACCTATACTAAGAACTTAGGATTGATCTTTGTAGTAACGATCGGTGAGTCTGGAAATTAGCCAGTTTAACTGGGATAAAAAGAAAAATTTTCCAAGATTAAGGGGGAGGGGGGGGGGGCGAAGGGGTGTCACCTCCACTCGGAACACCCACACCCTCTTTATCTTGTTCCTATCAAAATTTATTTGAAAAATATTACCCTGCCTTATATTCTGGTATCTACAGTAGTTGATTTAACATCTTTCAGTTTCACATTAATATTAGACTTACTTTCGCTACTTTTAGCATTTCATTGTGTTCTTGTTCACTCATTGGAATTGCTTCATCAGCAGCTGAAGTTGATTGTTTATGATGCTTTATTCGTTTTTTTATAAAATGACCTAACCGTCCACTATCATCAGTTTTTGATGATGTTTGTTGAATGATCTTGGAAGAGACCTTTGAATAGAACTATTTTTATGTAATATAAAAAGAAAAAGAAAACAAAATATACTTTTGGTAATGATACAAGTTTCTCCAGGATTTTTTTCCCGTGACAATGTACTTGACTTAGAAAAACATGACGTTCATTTGCATTTTGTCTAGCTTTATGTAGAAGATTTCGTCGTAGAAGAAAACCTCTAATAACTTTTTGACATTTTATTATATTTTTAATATACTGTTCGTAATGTTGATTTAAGATTTCTAAATGTTCTAATTTTAAAAAGATCTAAAATAAGATAATTTTATTAAATAAATAAACAAAAATTAAATTACTTTAGATTTTCCAATAACATAATCAGTAAATGAAAATTGTTTAAGAATTTTTTCGCATGTTATTGCATTAATTCTTATTGGACTATTTTCTGGATAAGAAATAAATTTATATCTATAATAAAAAAAAAAAAGAAAAAAAAAGTATTTATTGAATAAAAAGAAAATTTAAACAAACCGTTTTAAAAATTCTTCAAATGTAAAACGAACAGGCCAACCTTGATTTCGTATATAAGATATTTCAAGTATACCGTTATAGCGTAATTGTTCTTGAACTAATTCTTCGTCAAATTGATTAGCTACCTTACCGTGATTAGGTTTAATACATCTATGATACAAAATTATATTAAATATATAGGTAATATATTTAAATTTACACATCTCCTACGTGTCCAGTGAATATAATATTATCGAGTGTTTCAGGAAAAAATCATCTTTCAGTATGTTAATGATATTTCTTTTTAATATTCATTTGTTCAAGCTTAACTCTTTTTGAATATTCGCTTCAAACGAATAGTTCAAGATGAACAATCTTCGACTATCAATTTCTATCAAATAGTTGTTTTTTAACTATATGGTGCACTTCTACCGTATGTGTTTCTTTCGATGTTTCTTGTCCTAATCGAAAGAATGTATACAATTGAACAGTTCAATATATTAAAGTCTAGATTATTCGATAACTAGTGATCGTTGATGATGAAAATGGGATTCCGATAGAAGAGAAAAAAAGCGAAAATTCCGTACTTCAAGGGTATATCAAAGCTACCTTCTAGAAATTTTTAACTATCTCAAGTTTACTATTAACGTGTGTCATGTACATAATTGTTTAGAATTCATTCTATATAAGTTTGCCTGGCAATAAAACTCAAATGCGTTATCGTACAGTGAGGTGAAATGAAGTATCAATTACACAGCATGAACCATATAGTCAAAAAACAAGCTGTTATCGAAATCTTTGCATGACTAAAATGTGAAACACGATGTAGTTGCTGTTTCCAATCACGGAGAGATTGTTTTGGTTTATCTATTTTATTCCTATACTTCAATACTCATTTAAAATCATGTTTCACAAAAAATTGTATTAGATGGTTGTTGATCTTGAACTGTTTATTTGAAGAACATCTTAGGAAATGGATGGACGATATTTACACTAATATTTATTATACTATTTTGCAGAGAATTAAAAAGCTGATCTATTGAAGAAAAAAACTAAGTCTAAACAAAAGATGTATCATTAAAAATGTTTAAAGATCCGATTTTTCTTAGAATATTCGATACTATACTGCATAGAACTATACAATCGCT